GGACAGTGATGGACAGCGGGGGACAGTGATGGACAGTGACAGAGAAGGACAGCAACCGGACAGCTGCCCCAGTCAGCACAAACGCAGGCCGAGTGGGGCCCATGCATTCCTGGGAGGACTGGCACACTGGGAAAGGCCTCCAGGACACAGAGCTTGAGGACAGTGACAGCTTGTTCAGGCCAGGACTGTGTGTCCTCTCCTGTTTTCTTTCTTAGGAAACCCGGTGTGTTCGTTTTCTGGGACGACCATAACAAATTCCCATAACCCAGTGGGTTAAAGCAACGGAAATTTATTCTGTCGCGGTTCTGGAAGCTAGACGTCTAACATCGAGGTGTAGGCAGGGCTGCAGCCTTTGAGGGTCTTCAGGTGGGTCCTTCCTGCCCTTCCCGCCCCTCCCAGCTCTGGTGACTTCCGGCGTCCTTGGCCTGCGGCCACATTGGTCTCCACCGCTGCCTTCACATGACTTGCTCCTCTCCGCATGTCACTTTTTATGCTTGTGACGGCGCTGAGGGCCCCCCTTGTGATCCAGCGTGCTTGTGACGGTGCTGAGGGACCCCTGTGTAATCCAGCGTGCTTGTGACGGCGCTGAGGGCCCCCCTTGTGATCCAGCATGTTTGTGATGGTGCTGAGGGACCCCCGTGTAACCCAGAGTGCTTGTGATTGTGCTGAGGGCCCCCCTTGTGATCCAGCATGTTTGTGATGGTGCTGAGGGCCCCCCTTGTGATCCAGCATGTTTGTGATGGTACTGAGGGACCCCTGTGTAACCCAGCGTGCTTGTGATGGTGCTGAGGGCCCCCTTGTGATCCAGCATGTTTGTGACGGCGCTGAGGGATCCCTGTGAAATCCAGCGTGCTTGCCACGGCGCTGAGGACCCTCCTGTGTGATCCAACAGCTCTCATGTCGAGATCCTTACATTTGCAAACTCCTGGCTTCCAGCAATTCTCCTGCCCTGGTGTCTCAACATGCTGGGTTGCAGGTGTGAGCCACTGTGCCAGGCCTAGATTTGGGGGCCACCATTCAGTCGCTGCCCCTGGAGCGGCGAGGACGAGGCTCTGGGGCATGAAAGCTGCTCTCCCACATCCCCAGCAGCGCCAGCCCACCCTGCAGGGCAGATCTTCCTTGTCGTGGAAACAACTGGAAAAGGATTGGAAGAGAAACCTGGGCGGTTCCCGGCAGGGCTGCCTGCAGGGCCTGTGCAGGGCTTTGAGGGCCCCTCTGCTGTCAGCATCCCTACACCCCTGCCCCAAGAGCAGCCGGAACTGCACGTGCACAGATACTTTCAGATGGAAGTGGGAGAAATTTCAACTGCATCCAACACTCCTGGAAAAGGATGGGCCAATCACCTGTGGGTCCCATGTCCCCCTCCAGGGCACAGCCCGACCTGTCATGGGACCCGCAGGCGATGCTGCTGACTGTGCTCTCCCTTTGAAAGAAAAGGGTGCTGGGTGGTTTCCAGTTTACCGCAGACACACAGAGAGGCCCCACTCTGGCTCGGAGCCTGGCCCGGGTCGGGTCTCTCCAGTCCCAGCTTCTCCCTCCCGACTGGAAAGTCCCGCCCAGCAGTGCAGCAGCATGTGCTCCCAGAGTGGGAGTCAGCTGGCTGGACTTCAGGGCAGCCAGGACATTTGCCTGCGGTGGACGTTTTCCCGGAGGTTTCTTGGGAGTTGCCGAAGGTTGTTTCCCACTGGCTTCAGACGAGGCTTCCTGGGTGAGATTCTTCTTCCCTGGCCCCTCAGGATGCACGTGGTCCCGTCCCCCGCGTTGTCCCCTGCAGTGCCCCCCCCCCCCCGGAACTCCATTCCCACACTCGGGACCCACCCAGATGCCAGCTGCCTGCAGAGCAGCACGCCCCCCACTTCCGGCCCTGATGGCAACACTCTGTCCCCACCCCATTTGGAATTGTTGTTTGTCGGAAATGCTGTTTTCCCACCCGCCTTCTTATTCCCGGAGGCAGAGGCGCGTCAGCTTCCGGGGCTCTGTCCCCGCGTCGCCCTGGCTTCTTTGGCAGCGCCGCCTCTCCGTCACTCGGACCGTCCTGAAAGGACAGTGTGGCTGTGCGGGCTGTGTGTGCACATCCTCGGGCTGGCGGCAGACAGTGGTCTTGGCCGGAGCATAGCCGTCACACTCTCCCTGGGACTGTGAGCCCTCGGCGGAGGGGTCGGGGGGCAGCTAGGATCGTGGCCACAGCTCCCGGAGGTGAGCCCCCCAGCCACCGGCTGTCTTCCTGAGCCTGCCCTCCACCCCCCTCCAGTCTCGCCATTCCTGACTTCCCTCCAGGCTCCTGTTGCTGGTGACCGCAGACCCAGCCCCAGGGCTCTCCTGTCCTTCCTGTCAGGGGTCCTTTCCCAGAGGTCAGAACCATGGGTGGGTGGGCCTGTCCCGGGAGAGTCACATCGCTTGTTAACGGGAAGACTCCTTTGGCTCCTGTGCGCACATGTGGGGCCTCTCTCCCCAAGGGCTACTGTGAGCCTGGGAAGCCGGGGTGGTGTCTCCTGCCCCAGAGAACAGCCCCCGTGCACCTGGCATGATCGCCCATGCCCTCCTGAGGTTCTGCAGACTTTCTCCTCCGCCTCAGCTGAGTCTCCCACACGGAGCAGGCAGAAACCAAGTGGAGGCCTCCCGGGTTCCCAGTCCTGGGGCTGGTGCCCACCTGCCTCCTCAGCCTTCAGTTGCATGGGTGGCCGCAGGCGTCAGGGTGTGACGGCCAATGTGGTGGTGAATGTGCTGGTCAGAGGTCTCTGCATCCTCCACACCTCCGGCCAGATGCAGCCCAGCCTGTGTCCCTTCCCAGCTTGACTGAGGGACGGCAGAAAGCCACGACCCCGAGCCCACGCGTCCTGGGTTCCTGGTGCTTTGCCATGCCCCTGGTCCTGCCGCAGCCACCTCCTGGCTGGGCCCCGAGCCTACCCGGCAGCACTCACCTTCAGGGAGTGGGGAGCTCGGGAGAGGAGAGCAAACAGGTGTCAGTGGAGAGGGTGCTTCCTGACACGCGGTGGGCCCAGGCTCCTGTGGTCTCCCGCCTTGGCCATTCCATCCATCTGTGGGAGGACCTTGGCCTCTCTGCGGTCAGAGCAGCACTCTCAGGCCTCGGGATTGCAGCCACAGCCACTCCCTGGCTGGGAGCTCAGCTCACCTGGGTGCAGAGGAAGCTTTGACAGCAATGGTTGGTGTGGCTCATCTCAACCACCTCACAGCCCTCGCAGCCCCGCAGCCCCGTCCGGATCCCGCCCAGGATCCCTCCTACTGAGCCTACGCTAGGCTTCATCCTTCCCCAGGCTCCATGCCACCAGTAAGAACAGCCAGGCCAATGCAGACTACACCCCTTGGCCTCTGCCGGGACTGGGCATACTGCCCTGTGCTCGCCCAGCGTGCTGCCCCGGCCCCTGGAAGACCCTGTGTGGGCCTCGAAGCGGTCAGCCTGACCACAGGACCCTGCCCACCTTCTGTGATCCTTGTGTTTAGAACGAAACCTCTGTGGCTCTCGAGTCTGGAACTGACACTGATATCTCCCCATCACAGGGCACACCTGGCCTCGGCCCAATGGACAGCTGGCTCCACACACCCTCCTCTGTCTATCCCAAGAGGGCATTGCAGACTTCTGGGTACAAACCCCTGCTCTACCACTTAGCATCTTCTTAACATCAGGCAAATCATTGAATTGTACTGTGCCTTGGTTTCCTCATCTGAACAATGGGTTCACATCGAGTGTGCACAGTTTTGTGGTTTAAATGTGCTCTTCCTCATCAAGCCCACGGCTGTGATTCTGGCCAGTGCTTGGCAAGTGTGGGCCTCTGGCATGAAAGGGAAATTGGAGACCTTGTTCCACAGACGGGTGACCCGAGTCCGGGAAAGGCAGCGATTTGCTGCAGGTCCCACGACTTCACCGGTGACCTGGGCTCCTGCCTGGCTCACTGCAGCTTCGCTCCTCTCACCTGCCCGTGGCCCAGGTGGGCACCAACAGCCGCCAGCTCAGTACAGCATTCGCTGGGAGGTTCTCGTTTCACTGTTTTTGTATTATTCTGTTTGGTTTTATTCACATCAAGCCTTTCAAGAGCCTCAGGGAGGAAGCCACAGAGATAATCACATCACTATAACTGAAAATTAGTGGACAGCTGGCAGTCCTAAAAGAAAAACGAATTAAAGATTTCAGATGGGGACGAAGAATGTGTTCCCTTTGCAGGGCAGGTCCTGTACCCTCCCCACTCCACTGCCAGATCCTGCCACTGTGAATGAGCTTTGGCCCCTTCATGAGTTGGTCACTGCAAGCCTTGAGGGAGGCGAGGTTGTTGTGGATGCTGTGAGGAGCAGGCTACTGTGTCCTGGGAAGGGCCACACCTGTGATCGGAGCTCTGGGGACTGGGCCCATGCTCTGGGGGTGGAGGTAGCCCCAGACCTCCCAGAGTCCGGGTGGGCCTGGTTGACGGGGCAGCACTCTGACTTAATTGCCTTACAATCAGAAAACTGGAGGTTCAGCTTCCACTGGTTGGTTACCCAGGGTCAGATGTTGGCTCCAACTGTGGCCCTTCCAAGACTGCCTCCCCTTTTCCTCCCCTCCGTTTCAGCTTCTCAACCTTCATAGTCCACCTCTTCCAGGCAGCCCACGGTGACTAATCCAGCACATGGCTCCCACGCTCTGAAATCATGGCACCTGCACAGTCCTGACCACGAGGCCTGGTACCGAAAACTACTGTCCCAGTTGCCACTTGAGTAGACGCTGCTGGTGCCTGTGCACATCCCCATGGCCCTCCTGCTTCTGTGCATGCCAGTGGCTTCTTAATGCAGGAACTGGCGACTCCCTCCTGAGGGCAAATAAACGGCACTGAGGCACCATTTGGTAAACACGAGACCTGCCGCCATCAGAAGACCGACAATCCCAAGTGCTGACAGAGACGCAGAGCGGCTGCGCCTCACACATCGCTCGCAGAAGTGTGAAAGGCTTTGCACTTTTTTTTTCAGTCTTGCTCTGTGGCCCAGGCTGGAGTGCAAGGATCACAATCTCGGCTCACTGCAACCTCTGCCTCCCGGGTTCAAGCAATTATCCTGCTTCAGCCTCCTGAGAAGCTGGGATTACAGGCATGTGTCACCACCCCTGGCTAATTTTTGTATTTTTAGTAGAGACAGGGTTTTGCCATGTTGTCCAGGCTGGTCTTGAACTCCTGACCTCAGGTGATCTGCCTGCCTCAGCCTCCCAAAGTGCTGGGATTACAGGTGTGAGCCACCACATCTGGCCACTTAGCACGTTTTAATAACGTTCCATACACATCCAACACCCAGAAATTTCACTTCTAGGTAATTACTCAAGAGGAAGAAAAAATATGCTACAAAAAGCCCTTTCCAGGCAGCTTTATTCATGTTAACCAAAACGTAGAAACAACTCCTGTCCAAAGTGTGAACGGATGAAGTAATGTAGTGTGTTTTGCATGGCGCACTACTCGGCAATAAAAAGGAACCAGTTATGGATGCATGCAACGTGGCTCAATCTCAGAACCTCGTGTTAAGGGAAAGAAGCCATCACCAAAGTGTATTTTGCACGACTCTACTTGTGTGATATTCCAGAACAGGCAAAACTAAGACACGGAGATGTCGGAATGAGAAGCGTGGCTGCCTCTGTTGGGAATATCTATAACTGACCGGGGTAGACGCTACCTGGGGGTATGCATCTGTCAGGACTCGCCGAACTGAACGTTTTGCGGTGCGCAGCCTTTACCTCAGTACAAATGTTTATTCTCCGTGGTCAGTCAGATCAAGGAGGAACACGTGGCATGCACAGAAAAGCACAAAAGCAAACCCAAAAATTACCTGCAATTAACCTCCCACGGGTGATCGCTTTTCCGGCTTTGCACCTTCCTAGTGCAGACTCGGCTCCCACCATGGCACACCCGCGCCCTGGGGCATCTGCGTGGCAGGGGCGGGGCCCGCGGTCCTCTCAGCCGCGCCGCCTCCCGCCGGGGCCCAAAGGCTCGGCTGGTGGGAGACTCAGACCGAAGCGCGGGAGCACGGGCCCCAGGACGCACCCCCCACCCCCGTGCCAGTCCCCGGTCGCCCGCTGCCCACTGCCCGTGGCCCTCGCCTCCCTGCCTGTCGCCCGCTGCCCCCGGTCCTGCTACCCCCGATCCCCTGCCGGTCCCCGGCTGTCCCGGCCCCATCGCCCCGGCCCCCGTTGTCGGCCCCGGAGAACGCGCCATCCCGGAGCCACCCCAGCTTCCTCCCGCGGACGCACGGACGCATCTCCCGCCCGGCCGCCGAAGGCTGCCCTCCCCCGCCGCCGCCGCCTCAGCTGCGCTCCGGGGCCCCGGGAGGGGTTGGACGGCGCGGCCGCGCGTCTCCACGGCGACCGGGCGGCCGCGCGTCTCCACGGCGACCGGGCGGCCGCGCGTCTCCACGGCGACCGGGCGGCCGCGCGTCTCCACGGCGACCGGGCGGCCGCGCGCCTCGGGGCTGGGCCTGGGGCCTGAGGCGGAAGTCCCACCCCCGCCGGCTCCCGCGAGACCTTGCGAGCGCGACGTAGCCGGAAGCTGGTGGCGGCTGGTGGGCACCCGGGCGCGTCCCCGTTGCAGTGCGGCGGCCCGACCCCGGCTCTGGCCTGACCCCGGCGGCCCTGTCCGCCTCCTGCCAGGTAAGGCCCCGGCTCCCGCGGCGTTGCCCCCGGCGTTCGCGGGCAGACCTCCCCGCCGCGGCCGCCCCCGCCCGGACCCCGCTCCGCCCCGAGGCCGCTGCCCAGAGCTCGGCGGCGCCCACCCCGCGGCCCCCCATCCCCTCGGCGCTGGACGCCCCGGTGCCGCCCCCGCCCCCCGCGCCCCCTTCCCTCCGAGGCTGCCCTCCACCCGCGCCCCGGGCCTGGGATCCCCCGCCGGTTACGCGAGTCCGGAGGGCCCCTGCCCGCCCCCGTCGCCGCCCAGGGCGCGAGCAGGACCCGGCCGCGGCCCCTTCGGCCCCCTCCTCCCGAGCTGCTCAGGACCCAGGACTGGGCCTGGGCCCCACCCCGTAGGAGGTGGGGGTTCTGCCCGCTGTCATCAGAAGGGGGTGTCGCTGGCCCGGTCTCGTCAGAAACGGCGGCCGCAGCTCGCCGGGTTTCCTCCTCGCCCTTTGACGTGGCTGCCTGTCTTGAGGGAGGGGAGACACCGGGAAGGGGCTTTTGAAACTTTTTCCCCTTCTGTGGGTTTGGAAGAACTGTGCCTCCTGTCTGTTCTGTTAAACGCCTTGATTCCGGGCCACCAGTTCTGGGAAGCAGTTCTGCTCGTTTTCTGCAGGTCTCGTTAGTGTTCCTGCATGCTCCCCTAATTTTAGCAGCAAAGTTTGGCTCTGAAGTGGCCCAGGGCACCGAAGCTGCGAGCTTCGTTTAGGCGCCCCTCTCAGGGTTGAGGTCATCTGTCCTTGAGGAGGAAGGGCCGCTGTTCCTGCGCGTGGGTCCTTGGGTGCTTCGGACCCAGCATTTCTGCTCGTCGCTGTGTTACAGCCCTGGGGCCTGAGCAGTGTTCTTCAGTGTCCGTTTTGATCTCACCTATTGCGAGTGTTCCAGCTTAACGGATCCTGAGTTTCGAAGTCCCAGCGGCGTCCGAGCTAATACAAAGTGTCCTCGTCGGGTTTGACGTTTGCTGAAGGTATGTGCATTTGCAGGAGGAGGTATAGTTTTACATCTTGGTTGCAGGTGTTAAAAGTTCCTCGATTATTTTTCAAGGTAAACCATATTTGTCCTTTTGAAGGTTGGGAGGTATTTGCTTTTGTGTTATTAACTTTAACGTCAGGGAACTGGCGCTCATGAATACCCAGAATTAGTCACATAGAGGAGTTACTTCTAAATCCAAGGAAAGTCCTTTATTTTTTTGCACATTTTCTCCCTGCAGTAGTCCTGTGAGTATCCTGTGTATTTTACAGTTAGAAATTCAAGGAGCGTCTCATGGTTCTGAGTTTTGTTTGCCTGTGTCTGTTGGCCAATATGTGAGCCGCTGAGAGCACGCATGGTGCTGTGGGAGGGAGCGAGTGCCTCCGCATGGGCCATGGCTTCTGTGTGTGCCTGCCGTGAGAAGAGTGTGTCCCAACGCCCTTGTAAGCTCAGCCCTGCTACCCTCGGCGCCGGGACCTCTCCAACCCGGCTTGGCCCCTTTCCACCTTCAGTGCTGTGTTCGGGTGGACGCTCAGTTTGATGACAGTGTTGCCTCAATGAGTCATGCTGGGGTCCAAGTCTATGCGGTCAGGAGTAAGTGTTCAGACCTGCCTCATGCTCTGTGGCTCCTGGGCGCTCTCACACGAGGCACAGAGAATCATGGAGTAGAAGGCAGCCCAGGGTGAACTTTTGGCTTTGTTTTGATGAACTGCAGAAAACAGATATTTATTTCCTGACTTTGAATGGGTTTAGAGTAAGTGCTGGTGAGTGATAGGAGTCATGGGCCTCAAAATCCAGGAACTCTGGCTGTGCAGAGAGTTGGGACCCCCCCCCCCCGCCCCGTGAATACCTTGTTTCTGCATACTTATGATGAGAAATGAAATAGAGGACAGAGGTTTTTCTTTCTTTCTTTTTTTAAACTTCACCTCAACATAAATTCCCAGCTACACCGTGAGTAGGAAAGCTGGTCTACACGGTCCTCTTAAATACAGTGAAGGAGGAAAGGGCAGCCGTGCACACGTGTGGTTTCCTGTGGCTTACAGAGTGCTGTGTGTTCTCTGTGTAGTGAAGGGTAGAGGGAACAGCACACAGCTCCGTTCATATCAAGAGGCGGGTGAGGCTCGGAGAGACAGCATGCTGAGGCGTGGGCTGGTGGGGGTGCAGTCCTGCTGCCTCCAGGCTGGACTGTGCAGCCCGCCCAGCGGTGGTGATGCAGGGCCACTAGGTCATTCTCGCTGGACGCTGGGGTTGGTACCACCCCTCCTCCAGCTTTGAGTCTCAACTGTATCGGTTTCCCAGCCCTGAATTAGATGGGCCACCAGTGAGAGTTGTACTTGTTAGCTAGGAGAGCTGCAGAGACATCCGTAGGTTTTCTCCTCAGCCTGAGCCTGGTTGCTGCTATCCCACTGGGGTCCCTGTGAGCCGCCATGGCAGGGCTGATGGTCTGAGCCACTCTCTTTGTCCTGCTGCAGCCACACTGTTGCCCCCAGGCCTCGGAATGGCCCCGGAAGGACCCACCTGTAGGTCCCCCAGCAGGCCGGCCGTTCCCACACTCTGGGCAGGGGCACTGCTTCTGCCCCGCACTGGGGAGGTGGCCTGGGCACCCTGACCGTGATCAGCCCAAGTGTGGAGTGTCACCTTTTAGGAGGAAAGTCGAATTTAGCAGCTTATCTGTGTGTGTTTGTAAAGATCACCCTTACTGTGAATTTCACCATTAGAAGACAGGGCTTTTCGTAAATGATGCAGTCTTGGTGGGGAATAAGCAAAGTGGCGCCAGTAATTACATGATCTTCCTGATCCTCGCCCTGGCCACAGCCTGGGCGCCTCCTGGGGTGTGGGGAGCAGAGTCCTTTGGAAAGCGGTCCCCACGGCCCCCTGCAGCCAGCGGCCCTGTGACCACAGCTTCCGAGCAGCTCAGTAGAGCTGCCCCTCAGGTTTTCTGCTGTGTGGTGTTTTTGGACAGACACTATTTTCTTTTTTGTGGAGCAGCCTGTGTGTAAGTTTAAAGCGCTTGTTTTCCTCCTTTGCAGCATCATGGCCAGCCCAAGAACCAGGAAGGTTCTTAAAGAAATCAGGGTGCAGGATGAGAACAACGTAAGTCTCTGCCCCCGCATGCCGTGGTCTGGGTCAGCGAGTCCCGAGAAATTGGGCCCTAAGCCTGTGGTTCTGGGGCCCTCCTTGAGTGGATGATGGTTGGCGTGGCTCTGGATGTACGTGGCTTGTGCTGGCCGGTGGCCTGGGTGGGGCCCTCCTTGAGTGGACGATGGTCGGCGTGGCTCTGGATGTACGTGGCTTGTGCTGGCCGGTGGCCTGGGTGGGCGGCTCTTAGAGTGGTGGCCATTTCTAGCACTCATCAGTGCTGGCTGTTGAGGGTGGGGACTCCTGGCTGTTGGGGTGGACGCTGGTCCACATTTCTCAGGTCATACCCCCCTAAGGACAGGTCTGCCTCATGTCTGAATGTTTTATTACACGGGAGGCTCTTGCCCCTCACGCCTGGCCCCACCCACGCCCTCTGGCCACCCTGGACAGCCATGTTGGGCTCATCTGCATTTGCTCTTCTGCACTCGTTCCTTGGGGCCACCTGTCGGGTGTCCAGTCCGGGGCTCTGCCCTGAGCCACCTGGTGAATCCCTGTGGCCCTTTACAGGTTTGTTTTGAGTGTGGCGCATTCAATCCTCAGTGGGTCAGTGTGACCTACGGCATCTGGATCTGCCTGGAGTGCTCGGGGCGACACCGTGGGCTCGGGGTGCACCTCAGGTCAGTGTCTTGCCGCTCCAGCTCTGCGGAGAGCCTGCGGGCAACCCCTCGTCTGTTCTGACACTGGAGGTGCTGACGCCAGGGAAGCTCGGGGCCGCCTCCCACTGCGTGGCCAGTGTCACCCGCAGTGATGCCACCCACGGGGTTCCAGCCACTGGCAACTCAGCCTCCACTCCGCTGCTGCTTGCTGTGTCTAGTACGAAGCGTGTTGCTGGGTGGAGGGGCGTCCCTGGGTATCCCCGGTGCTGAGTGATTTGCCCGATGCTTTGGTTTCCAGCTTTGTACGCTCCGTTACTATGGACAAGTGGAAGGACCTTGAGCTTGAGAAGATGAAAGTGGGCGGGAACGCCAAGTTCCGAGAGTTCCTGGAGTCGCAGGAGGATTACGATCCCTGCTGGTCCTTGCAGGAGAAGTACAGCAGCAGAGCCGCGGCCCTCTTCAGGGATAAGGTGGGGCGGCTCGCTCTCCCCCGTGGTGCGGGCCTGCTCCGCCGTCCTGGCAGCCAGACCCTGGTCTTTAGTGGTTCTGGAGCTGGTTCTTTTGCTGGTTCTGGCACACCCCCTGGGCACGCACAGTCTGGGACAGACAAGAATGTCGTGATCCTTGCCACCCCAGAGCAGTCACTTCCTGCCCAGATGGGAGGCACATGGCTTTAATCACCAGGGAAGGAGACATAAGGGCCATAGTCCTTTTTCCCCGCCTTCAGGGGAAAAAGGACTATGGCCCTTATTGGCTCTGTGACACGTTGGGCACAGTGTTTCTAAGAAGTGTGGAGGCCAAATAGGTGGGTCCCCTGAGTTTGAAGTTGGAGCTGCACCAGCCAGGAGCTCCCCAGCTCTGTTGTTGATTGTAAAGTGAGCCCTGGCCTCGCATCCACACCTAGGCTGTGCGCCTGAGCAGGGGCCATTGAGGGGGGCCAGGAGGAGGCTGCGGGTGTGGGTGCTCCAGGCGCGCCATGGGGGCTGCGCTAGAGTGGACAGCACCCACGGGCGTCGCCAGACAGCTCTGTGCTCTCTGACACCCTGTGTCTTGTTGTCAGGTGGCCGCTCTGGCCGAAGGCAGAGAGTGGTCTCTGGAGTCGTCACCTGCCCAGAACTGGACCCCGCCTCAGCCCAGGACGCTGCCGTCCGTGGCGCACCGGTAGCTGCTCCTCTGGCCTCTCCTGGGGCCCAGTGCAGTTTCTGCTGGGCCCTGATCTTCGTAGCTTGAGTTCCCCCACGGAATCCCCCTTTCTTTGCTGTTGTGACAGCTCATTCCCAGAAGTCAGAGGGAAAAACAGCTTTTTTAGATTGCCAAAACAGTACGAGCTTTTGGTAAAATTTCAACCCATAAAGCTGTCTCAAATAGTGCCCCAGGCAGGCTCCGCACGTCTTCCACACGTGCACACAGCCATGTGCCCCGTGGCGCTATGGGAGCTCACGTCTCCATCTGCTCATGGGACTGCTATGTCCCCTTCCCCAGAGTTACCCCTCTGTCTGTGGCGCTGGCCCCGCCACCCTTGAACCGACTCCTGCCATGGATGCGTCCCGCCTCCTGCTTTAGGGAGTGTCCGGGCAGGGTGCCTGTGCAGCGGGAGGTCTCCCCACCCCACTTGGAGCGCTGGGCCCCCGCCACGTCCAGGTGCTTCTGGCAGAAGGCTTTGCACTGTGGGCAGCCCCGGCTCAATTCCAGACCCTTAGCCCTCTTGTCCCGCCTCTCCCCAGTGCCTCCCGCTGACGGGGAGAGCGCAGAGCCCACTGTGGAGGCCTCTTTTGATGCCCATGAGGCTGGCATTGCCAGGGTTTCAGCACCTGAGACAGAGCTTGAGGCCATCCTGGCCTCAGGTGCTCTTGGGGGCGACATGAAGGCACTGCCCACGTAGGCCACATGGTTCTGGGGTGCTGCTGGGGTTACCTCAGACTCAACCCGGTCGTGGTCTCACCCGCCTTCGATGCTTGGTTTTAGAGCCTCTGGCCAGCCGCAGAATGTGACCGCCTCCTCAGACAAGGCTTTTGAAGACTGGCTGAATGATGACCTAGGCTCCTATCAAGGGTAAGCACTTGAGAGCTGGGGGCGGCTTGGGCAGGCCAGGCCCACAGGGCTCCGTCTGCTGGGCAGGGCTGCTCCCCTCGGGCCTCCCGTGTGCAGCGGCTGCAGAACCCATGCATGTGCCGTGCGGGGTCCACGTACAGCGAGCTGCAGCCGGTGTCAGCTGGGGGTCTCAGGTGTAGAGAAGAGCCAACACTTAGAAGGAAAACAGCGCGTTTCTACCTGGAATCCACCGCACCTGTCAATGAATTTCTGTCCCAGTCCTGTCATAAAGTTGCTTTGATCCTTTTTCCAGTATCCCTGTCACTGGGTTTGAGAACTTGCTGGGTCCCTCTGGTGACGTGGCAGGAGGGTCTTTTCAAATGAACAGAAAGTGCATCTCTGCTGCTGGGAGCCTCAGAAGGCAGCGCACATCCCCAGAGCCCAGCCTCGCCTCCGCTCAGGGCCCCACACCTTCACAGGGAGCCGGGTTCACGCCAGCATCTTCAGTCTCTTGTCTGCTTTGTTTCAGGGCCCAAGGGAATCGCTACGTGGGCTTTGGGAACACACCACCACCTCAGAAGAAAGAAGACGACTTCCTCAACAATGCCATGTCTTCCCTGTACTCGGTGAGGACTTTCGGGCCTGCAGACCATGCCTCCCGTGGACAGACCCAGCTTGAGGGCACGGCTGCCGTCGGGGGCAGTGCAGCAGGCCTGCAGACCATGCCTCCCGTGGACAGACCCAGCTTGAGGGCACGGCGGCTGTCGGGGGCAGTGCAGCAGGCCTGCAGACCATGCCTCCCGTGGACAGACCCAGCTTGAGGGCACGGCGGCTGTCGGGGGCAGTGCAGCAGGCCTGGAAGACACATGTTCTTTGTCTTGTTCTGATTTAAGAATCCCTTCCTTACTCTCAGTGATGTTTTCTTGCAAAAATGTGGCTTAAATTTTTCAGATCCCAAATGTATTCAGTTATTACTATTTTTTTTTTTTTTAAAGTAGAATCACGCTTTGTTGTCCAGGCTGGAGTGCAGTGGCATGATCTCGGCTTGCGGCAACTGCCACCTCCCGGGTTCAAGAGATTCTCCTGCCTCAGCCTCCAGAGTAGCTGGGATTATAGGCACATGCCACCACATCCAGCTAATTTTTGTGTTTTTAGTTGAGGCAGGGTTTCACCAGGTTGGCCAGGCTGATTTCGAATTCCTGAGTTCAGGTGATCTGTCTGCCTTGGCCTTCCAAAGTGCTAGGATTACAGGTGTGAGCCACCACACCCAGCCATCACAGGGTATAGTTCAAATCTAACAGCTGATGTTCTTCCTGAGAACCCAAGGACTGATGGCAGCTGCACAGCTGTGCCCTCTGTGGAGGGAGTGCTGAGTGCGGTGGGAAGCCGGCTCTGGGGAGGCTCTGTGGCAGCACTGGGAAGCTGCTTGGGCGCTGCCGCCCTTGGGGATGGAGAGGGCTCGGCTGTATAGATGTGGCCCCCCTTTGCTCTCAGGGCCGTTCCTGGTCTGGGGGTGCCTGGAAGCTCCAGGTCAGACATTCAGAGTGTGACAGCCTGGGCTTGTTGCCATTTTTCTGGTAATGGAAATACATTTTGTTTGACTTGCTTTTCCAAGGAAATTTTTACCGTCTGTAAAAAATGATTTTTGCAAGGTGTGGTGGCTCACGCCTGTAATCCCAGTACTTTGGAAGGCTGAGGTGGGCAGATTACCTGAGGTCAGGATGAGATCAGCCTGGCCAACATGGCAAAACCCCACTTCTACTAAAAAGATACAAAAATTGGCCAGCCATGGTGGCGTGTGCCTGCAATCCCAGCTACTTGGGAAAGCAGGCCAGGAGAATGGCTTGAACCTGGGAGGCGGAGGTTGCGCTTCCAGCCGGGTGACAGACTGAGACTCCATCTTAGAAAAAAAGAAAAGGATTTTTATTCATTGCAGCTTCATTGTCCATTGTTGGGGTCACACAGCAACCTGAGCCTCTGGCCACGGGGCCACTTACCTGGGAGCTTAGCTGAGAGCCAAGGAGAGGCTTGTTTTGTCTTCTGTTTTTCTTCCTTGAGACGAGTCTTCCTCTGTTGCCAGCGCTGGAGTTCAGTGACACAGTCATAGCTCACTGCTGCCTCGAAGCCCTGGGCTCCAGCTTTCCTCCCTCCTTGGCCTCCCCGAGTTCTGGGATTACAGGTGTGAGCCACCACGCCTGGCCAGAAAGGGCTTTTTAATATTAATATGGCAATGTCTTCAAAGTAGATTGAGAAAAAAGCAGGTTTAAAATCAATGCGTTTATCTGTAAGGAGCCCCCAAGTACGTGGAGCTTCTGGTCACTTGGGGAGGCCTGGCTGTGCCTTCGTCGCGGACAGCACGGTCGCTTTCTCTTGCGGTCATTCGGCAGCTTTGGGGAAGAAAAGCGCATTTTTTCAGCCTGGGCGTGGGCTTCATTTTAGCATCTGTTCTGCCTTTTCCTCTCTGGGGAAGGCAGCTCAGCTTAGTGATCGCTCAAGTGAGGGCCCCTTTGCATTTCCTTTAGGAGGGAGAGGATGAGTTGTGATTGAAATGAGACGTTTGTTCTTCGAAATAGCTTTAGTTTACCTTGGGAGACTTAGGAGGGAGCTCTGAGCATAGATGAAGGAGAGCAGGTTCCAGCCGTCATGCCCCCCCACCCCCCCCACCCCCGTCTCACCTCTGTTCCTCTAGGGAGGTAGGAGGGGATAGCCGCGGCAGCCGGAGCGGGCACTGGCCGCCGTGGGGCAGGAGGAGGGGGCGCCGGCCGCCGTGGGGCAGGAGGAGGGGGCGCCAGCCGCCGTGGGGCAGGAGGAGGGGGCGCCGGCCGCGTGGGGAAGGAGAAGGGGGGCACTGGCCGCGGCACCGCCTGGTTCCTGGGTCTCAGTCCTGACGTGGCTGCTCTCTGTCGCCCCCCGCAGGGCTGGAGCAGCTTCACTACTGGAGCCAGCAGGTTTGCCTCAGCAGCCAAGGAGGGCGTAAGTTACCGTCCCTACCACGCCACTGGGCCCTTGGGGCACCGGCCACTGCTGGGCTGGGGTTCTGGGAGCTGCAGAAGGGATGTGAGACACAGAGGGCGTGTGGATGCTCTAACCAGGGGCTGTGCCATGTGTACCAGCTGGGGTGGTGCCAGGGCCTTGGAGGTTCTGCAGGAACACAGCAGCTCAGGCTGTTCAGGAGCCGCTCCTCCTGCATCAGACCCGCTGCTGGCAGAGGGGTCCCGCCCCGATGAAAGTGAGGGAGAGGTGAGCCCTGGACCCCACCCTAACCCAGCAAGGCAGGTCTCAGGCACCACGTGTCCCTGGAGCTTCTGCTTCTGGGGCTCGTCGTGTTTTGATAGCGTTTTCTCTCTCTTTCGCCTGTTCCTCATCCTGAAACGCGGGGAGGATTTGGGACTTTGGTCAGGGCAGGCGGTGGAGCGTGAGGCAGGGACCCAGGAGCAGGCCTAAAAGCAGGATGGGGCGTGGGCCTCTGGGGGCTGGGCTGTGGCGTGAAAGGAGAAGGGGCAGCCCGGAGCAGGGCAGAGCGTTGCACTGCGTGCCTGCAGCTGCCCAGACAAGCATCCCGGCACCCCAGTTGGGGCCTTTGTGAGCAAAGTCACAGTGCGTACCTGCCAGGTGTCTCTGCGGTCACTCTGGTCCTGTGTCTTCCCCAGGCCCTGCAAGGGGCAGCAGGCCAGGCATGCAGGTTCCAGCTCCCATGGCCCCATCACTCCATTTGCCGAGTGGCTGCTTTTGGCTCCCACCAGGGCCTCTGTTTCCTCGCCTCCAGGGGAGGGCTGCAGCCTAGGGAAGTCCAGGTGCCTTCCAGCCAGAGTGTCATGATCTGGCCTTTCCTGTTCCCATGGAGCGCAGAGGTCACTCAGGTGCTGGGTGTCGCCGTGCCTGGACCATACTGGACAAGGAGCCATCCCCACATCGTGGGAGATGGGGCTGGGGCGGTGGTGAAGCCCATTGATGAGCACTGCTGTGGCTTCCCCAGCCTGTCCTCTGCCCCAGCAGGCTCCACCCCGGGACCACGTCTGCAGGTGTCCTGAAGGCTGGAGGATGGGGCTGGCCCTGCTGTTCCCCGGCCACGTACTGCTCTTGTGCGCCCTGACCCCAGTGGCACACTGGGCTGGCCCTGCTCCAGGGAGAAGCCGGCATTTGTGCTAACCCAGGCCCCACTGCAGCTCTCCTGGGCATCTCAGAGCTATAGGTCGCCTCAGAGCCACCGGCAGCCCGGGGGCCACTGGGAGACAGTCCTGGAACTGAGAGTCCGTGGCCCTGAGGAAGGAAGCTTGGCCGGCGGTGCTAAGACTGTTGGCTCCATCCGCGCGTTTCGTTTTAGGCTACAGCGTTAACACTGTCAAGCTCTGTGTTTTTCATTTTAGGCTACAAAGTTTGGATCCCAAGCAAGTCAGAAGGTAACAGAGGAGAAGCTTCTGCACCCTGTACTGAGCCTCTGATGTCGTGTGCAGCCCACAGCTGCCTGGTTCCCTCTTCCCAGGCCGCATACTCGGGGCCGAGGGCCCAGCATAGCAGGGGTGTTCCCAGCATGTTGCTCCCTGGCTCGGCCCCTCCTCATGCCAGGGTGGCTGCCTCATGGGCCTGCTCAGGGCCTTGGGGCCAAACTCGCCACTGTTACTGGCACCTGGTACTGGTGTGCGGCCACTTTGCGGCAGAGCACCTTGTTGGGAGCAGGACTGCCAGGCTTGGCAGATGGCCTACACTGGCGGCGGCTGCTCAGCGGGCAGGGGCGTTGTGGGTGGTGCTGTGCTGGCAGCACCCAGGATGCGTCTGTACTCAGGGCCATGGAGCGTTCTCCTGCCCTGGCCAGGACGTCCCCCAGTTGCAGGCGGTGTGGCCTCGGGCCTTCGTATATTCGTATTCTTTGGGATGTGAGTGGCAGCCCCACGGTTCCCACTTGGTGGTCAGAGCTGTGGTCTGGTTGTCCTGAGGGTCAGAGTCACCCAGGAGGCAGTGGCCACATGAGGCCCACCATGAAAGCCAGGACTGCAGGCGTGGAGCTACACGTGGTTTTTTAGGACACGCCCTTGCTCCCAGGGGGAGGGGTCCATTCTCACGAGGTGCCCGTCTGTCACCCCTGTGGCCTGGATCGTTCCTTTGCTCTCTGAGGGAGTCTTCCATGTGGCCACCCCCAGCTGCAGGGATGCCTGCCTGGCTTTGCTGCGGGCCCCTAGGCTCCTGAGCTGCAGTCACTTACGCAGTTCCTGAGCGTGGTGGTCAGGTCCGGGGCAGGGAGTGGTGGCCTCAGGTGGTGTTGCTGAGACCTCCCCCTGCCCCCGTGCTGCCTTAGCGCTGCGGCACCGTGTGGCGGGTTTGAAGGCGCTTTGGGTTACTAATGCTACCCTCACCTTGCTCTCTCCTTACCTGTCGCCTCGCTGTCGGGTAAAGTTTTGGGGTCACAAGCAGCAGCCGGAGCCGGTAAAGCCCGTGTCTGCTCATGCATGGTGTCCACGTCTCCGCCGAGAATGCGCTTGGCTCCCGCCGCCCCTCCTGCGTGCTGCCGCTGTCTCGTGTCACCTCACGTGTGCACACGCGCAGACCCTCTCCCGGCCTTGGGCAGTGGTTCTCCTTTCAGATCCAGGATCTGCATCAGGCTTGGTGGTGTGTGCCTGTCACCCCAGTACCACTGCGCTCCAGCTTCGCAGGATAATGAGACCTCATGTCCAAAAAACACAGACCCTGACCCAGGCTTGCTGCCAGGAGGCCCTGGAGGGAGCCGGGGGCACTGGGCGTGGAGCTGCTGAGCAGGGTTTCCAGGCCACGCTGCCCTCCTTCGAGCTTAGTGCAGAGGAGGATCTTTGCTCCGTGACGAGTCCTTCCCCTTACAGTCTTTGATCTGCGCTTCTCCCTGCGCAGAGGTCTTGGGGAGAGGAGGCCTCACACCACATCCGCAGGTGGCCCTGTGGCCTCGATGCCCGAGTGACCCAGGATCAGGAGGGGTTGCCCTCCTTTCTCAGCAGCTTCTTCCCATGGCCCCAGCCTCCCTGCCCTCTTCCCTCCAGGGGGTGTTCCTCCCAGGCAGGGAGGAAGACGAGGCATCCCAGGTCAGCCTGGGGTGGCAACAGCTGGTGTTGGCTTCAGGCTTGGGCTGCACGGGGCATGTCCCCACCAGCCCAGCCCTGCTGGCTGCATGGCGGCACATGAGGGAGACCCCCAGAGGGAGCTCCCTGTGTCCTTGAGGGCCCTTCCTGCGAGAATGGGGGGCACGGTCTTCGCCCTCTCGAGGTGGTGGCTGACTGCACGTCGGGGGTTGTGTGCAAAGCCCTGTCCTGCCTCCTGCGCTCGTGCCCTGCTGCTTTCCCCTGCTGGCGAAGCTCCCGCTGCCCTTTGCTGGCCTGGGCTGCCGCTGCCAACCCGTCTCCTGCACAGAGTTGCCATCAGGGCTCACATAACTTCCCTTCCTACAGGCGTCGGAGCTGGGCCACAGCCTGAACGAGAATGTCCTCAAGCCTGCGCAGGAGAAGGTAATGCGGCATCTCCGAGGGGTTGATGTGCTGCTTGTACTCAGAGCCCTGCACTCGGGGTGGGGTGGGTGCTGGTTTGTCCAGCGGCTGACACTCAGGCCCAGCCTCACACCCCGCTTCTCCAGCACGGGCATCCTCCTCGGGGGCTGGGTGCCTCTCGGAAACTTCAGCTGACCTCTTCCTCTGGCCTAGGGCCTCCCTTGCAGGCCCCCAGCCCCTTCCTCTCCTCTGCCTCACCCCCTAGAGCTGGCCCCAGTGCTGTGCACCGAGGAGGCTCTGGTGTAGGAATGACATCCACCATCCTCGGGGGTCAAGAGCCCTGCTAGCTCCCTGCCTCCTTTGGGGCCTGATTGGGACACGCAGGGGACCCGCCTGGGCAGCGTGGACCGTCCTCAGGCCTGACTGGGACACGCGAGGGACCCACCTGGGCAGTGTGGACCGTCCTCAGGCCTGACTGGGACACGCGAGGGACCCACCTGGGCAGTGTGGACCGTCCTCAGGCCACTTTGTCAGCAGTGCCTGGCAGGGGCCCCGTCTGCAGGTGCCAGGCCTGTCAGTGATGTGGTCTCTCGATGCTGAAATCACTTTGGGGCCAGTGTAGAACTTTCTGGGCTCAGCCTGACAGCTTTCCACGTGCCCTTGTTTCTGGTGCCCTCACCCTGGGGACTCCCTGCATTCTGGAAGCTTTAGGCTTTAGTCTCTTCTGTCCCCACTAATGCTGCCATCTTAACACATGCAGGTGAAGGAGGGAAAGATTTTTGATGATGTGTCCAGTGGGGTCTCTCAGTTGGCCTCCAAGGTAGGGAGCCTGCCAGAGGCGCAGGTGTGGCTGAAGCTGGTCTCCATATCCACGGCCCTGGGCACCAGAGCAGGGGCTCTCTGAGCAGGCCCCAGCCTGCCCCAGCCCACCTCGGCAGTGGCCCCGTCCTCTGAGACGGGGGAGGAGGGCCGCCCGGCCTAACAGCCAGATGGATATGGAGACAGCTTGGCCTGCTGCGGCCCGGCCTGCTACTAACTGTCCCTTCCGCTCTTACCTTGCTGCTGCGGCCTTTTCCTCGGTAAGTGCCAGCACCATCCTCGCCGTCTTCCGTCCGCTGCTCTGCCGGCCGGTCGGGGTCTGCGTTTTGTCCTGTTCACTGGCGTGGGGTGCTCTGCAGATGGGGAGGGAAAAGCAGGCCCCACCCCTCTCCCCTGTGTGTGGGTGGGTGCTTCTGCAGTCTGTGCACCCAGCGCTGCTGTGCGTGTCTGTGTCTGAGTGTGCCAGGCACCCCTCGCTTCTGGATTTTACCTGGGCCTTCTCCGCCGGTTGGTGTGCGCTGGCTTGCGTGCCTATGCCGTGACGGGGCCTCCCTAACCTCTCTTCTCATCTTCCAGGTCCAGGGAGTCAGCAGTAAGGGATGGCGGGACGTTACCACCTTTTTCTCGGGGAAAGCAGAGGGTCCCTTGGACAGGTACGCCATGTCCCCACCCCCCGGGCCTGTGTCCCACCCCCCTCTCTTGACCACTCCTCTCACAGGCTCTCCAGGAGGTGGTTGGCATCCTTGCTGGGCAGCGTGGTGGGGGGCACCGTGGAAGGCTCTCCTAGTGCTCTGGCACTTCGGGGGCCTCTCACCTGTCCCTGCCTTGGCTGTGTGCTTTTTGGAGCAGGAGCTTGGGGTAGGGAGAGTCTCACCCACACGCCCCTACATAGGACTGGTGAGAGGGGGAGCCGGCCTTGCTCTGCCATTCGTCTGTCTCCCAGACTGGGTGGGTGGAGCAGGTGGGGAGCAAGGGGACAGCAGGGCTGGGACCCCCAAGACCTGTCCTGGACCCTGTGTCCAGCTCTGTGCTTGGCACTGGGTGCCCCAGGCATTCCTGCTGGAAGCTGGCTGCTCTTCTCAGTCCCTGACCCCAACAGGAAGCACAGGGTTCATAGGGCCTGGCCCTGTGCTGTCCACTGAGACGCCAGCCCTGGTGGGCACGGATGCTCTGTCCCCAGATGGGCCCAAACTTTCCTTGCAGATGCTACATCCTTTCCCTCCCTTTGCGTGTGTGGGGTTTCAGTGGTGTGGCTACAGCTGAGGACAGAGGGCAGGGCCTGGTCCAGGGCCAACATGCAGCGGGGGCATCTCTGGGGAGAGCCTGGGTCCCCGCATGAGGCATCTCTGGGGAGAGCCTGGGTCCCACGTGAGGCCAGGGCCCCTCCCCCTCCCCACTTAACTAAACCACTGATGATACAGCAGGTTGGAGCTGGTAGAAAAGGGAATTTTCTGTAAAAGGGTGGGCCCTGGTTCTCCAGGTCCCTGGCACAGTTTTTTCTGCTCTAAAATGGGAGAACCAGCTCCTGCCTGGCAGGGTGCTGCGGACCCTGAATGCTGGCCTGGGAAGGTGCCACAGGGCCTGGTGGTCACTGCTGCTGCAGAGCTGTCGGGGGCGCGGAATTCTGAGTGGTAGGCTGAGTGGCATTCATGGTCCCCCTTCTGTCTCTTTAAAAGTTCCTCCGAGGGCCACAGTTACCAGAACAGTGGTCCAGACCACTTCCAGAACAGCGCCATAGACCAGAGCTTCTGGGAGACCTTCGGGAGCACCGAGTCCGCCAAGGCCCGGAAGTCCCCGAGCAGCGACAGCTGGACCTGCGCAGACACCTCCACGGAGAGGAGGAGCTCCGACAGCTGGGAGGTGTGGGGCTCAGCCTCCACCAACCGGAACAGCAACAGCGACGGCGGGGAGGGCGGGGAGGGCGCCAAGAAGGCGGTGCCGCCGGCTGTGCCCACCGACGATGGCTGGGACAACCAGAACTGGTAGGGTCGCCACAGGCAGCCCTGTCCCCAGTGCCCTGGGTGACTTCATGTTTGCACTCTGCCCTCGTTCTCTTTCCATTTGACCCAAGAATCAGCGACCACAGTGTGAGGACAGCATCTCGGGAGGCAGGACTCCGGGGAGACCCGGGTTTGTGCCGCTGTCCACCTTGGGAGTCTCGGTGCGTGGGGCAGCTTGCTCTCCATCCCACACTCCCTGGGCACACTTGGACTCCAGCAGGGGCCCGGCGTGGCTTACTGGGAGGTGGGCTGTGGCACAGACCCTCGCAAGTGCGTTCCGGCGGCCAGTTTGACACATTATCTCCAGGGTCAGGGATCGGCCACGTGTTGTGCTGTCGGAGATGAGAGGAGCCGCGTCTCCTGGAGATGTTTAACTCTGGGTTTGCTCTAGTTCTTTCTCTTTGAAGAAAGTGACTGGAGGGGTAAAGATGGAAATGCTGAAGGCGACACTGGCACTCACACTGTCATCGACTGCCCTCGCTCCCGAGTCCACGCCAGCCTGGGCCTGTGTGTTGAATCCCTGTCATTACCCTCAGTGGCTTCCCTGCATCAGCCTCGTCCAGCCACGTTCACCGGACACACCTCCCAGCGGCCGTGCCTGAGCTGTTCTCAGTGCTGGAACCTGACTATCTGGGAACGCCCCGTTAGACAAAGGGGCGCGGGGGGCGGTGGGGGGGGCCCTTGGCCCTGGTGCAGGGGGGTGCGACAGTAGCAGGGGCCCAGATTCAGGAGCTGAGCTGGGGTCACCTGTGTGCAGTGCCTGGGCCTGGGGAAGGTCCAGCTCCTGGTCAGCCCCCAGCACGTAGCTGTGCCCACGTCCCTCCGGCGCCGCCTTCTGGCCTCTCCGTCATTTGAGTCTGATTGGCTGCCCCGAGCGTGGCTGGCTTGAAGACGTGCCCGCCCATGCCGACCTTCCCCGAGGACTGGGTGACGTGCTGCTGCGTTTGACCCAGTCTCCCTCATCTGCCCTGTGTGACCCTCCGTCTTGGCCAGCTGTGCATGTGCCGGAAGCTTGTGCAGTGTGTGAGGTGCTCTCCCCTGCCGCCGTGCTCCTCACTATGGCCTCAGCCACACTTCCTCATCATCCTCATCCACTTTCCGGCCGCCATCTGCAGCACTCCTGGAGCAGCCTGGCCCTGCAGCTCTGTGCATGTCCCACCTCAGGGACTCAGCCACCTGTGGCACAGGATGGGCCCTAGATTTCAGGAAGCCCTCCTGGTACCCGCTCCTCCCTGTGGGCACCAGCCCCCTTGGTAGCCGACGTGGAGGGCCTGTGCACTTGGCTGCCATGGACAGACTTGGTCACCAAAGCAGCCACCTGCTGTAGATGGACCTGGGGTCAGAGGCTTGGGGTGCTGAGAAGCCTCAGGGCAAAGTGGCCAACACAGAGGTCCCAGGAAGTCAGCCCCGGAGAGCAGAGCGTGAGGTCTTGGAATGTCTGTCCTGAGCTGAGGCTTGGGCGGCCTCGTGGTTTTCCCCAAGGGCTGCTTGGATCCTGGTGGGCTGAGCACTCTGCGGAGGGGTGGACTCCATCCTGGACAGTGGGGCGTGGTTTCCACGTGCCCATTTCTACGCCGGCACTTGGCAGCACAAACCCAAGCTCTTTCCCCCACCCCCCGGGAAGGTGCCTTGCTTGGGGGCAGCGTGACAGTCCCTTCTGATGGGAAGTGCAGTCAGTGTTGGGAGGGAGGGTCGGGGCCACCTTCGGAAGGGGATGTGGTGGCTGAGACACCCTCCGCAGAGGGTGAGGGCCTTTCTCTTCTGCAGGTGCTGGCAGGTGCCCCAGGACGGGCGCTGGGGCCTCTACTGGCTGTGTGAGGGCCCATGTGGAAGGCACGGACCTGACAGCATTCCAATAAAGCACACGGAACGTCTGGGTGCATCCCAAGGGGCCGCTTCCACCGCCGTGCTAGTGGGGTCATGGGACCCCCAGGGAGCGGGGGTGGAGCACCGGGCTCCCTCATTTCTCCTGGCCCCTCGCTGCGTGTTTCTGGACCCAAGGAGAGATCATCTGCTACCCAGCCCTCCTAGGGAGGCCCTGGCCTCACCCCGTCTGAGCCAAACCTGGCGAGTAGGCAGCTGGGCCACCCGGCCAGAGAAGAGGTCATGGGCCTTTGGCCGGCCAGCAGGACTCCAGTGGGTCCAGTGACCCTTGGCCCGGGGAGGTGGGCAGTGGCTCCTGTGGTGGAGAATGGCACCTGGGCCTGGGTCTAGAAGGGCTCTTGCCCCTCCCAGAGATTGAGTCCCCGCCACGCTGGGGTGGATCTCAGCCCGGATCCTGGAAACTCAAGGTGCCATCTGATAGTGGGGTTCAGGGGTCGGGGGGGTGGCCGTAGCCAGGAGAGGTCTGCAGAGGGTCATCTTGCTCTGGGGCAGCGCTTTAGGGCAGGCGGGCTGAGGTCAGAGCAGCTGGACGGGGAAGACTATAAAGTGGCAGGTCCCAGGCCAGGTGTGGGCCTGGAGTCCGTTCCTGGTTGAACCCTGGTCTCAGCCTCTGGCCAGCTTGCAGGGGGGCATGGGCAGTGGTGCTGCCCAACCCCTGGCCTCCAGCATGCAGCTCCACCCCCACTGTGGCTCCAGGAATTCAGGTTGACCACCCTGGGTACCTGCCACTTGTCCCTCCTCTTGAGCCAGCCTCTGCTGCTTGTCCCGACACTGGCTTCACCCTGTGGACCCTCAAAGCCAGCTTCTGCCCTTCCGGAAACTTCTATAAGTGTGTGGCTTCCCGTGGCCACCCACTGATCACACCCACCAGCATTGCTGTCTCCCTCAAGCCTCCCAGGGGCGAAGCCCTGCCTTGTGTGCCTCCATCACTAGTGGGCAGAGGGGGCTGGGTGAGGCTGGCGGCTGTGGGGCCTGGCCCTGCTCTGTTCTGACCCAGCCGACACAGGCAGGTGGGGGTCTGGGGTCAGCCCCCAGAGCACTGAGGTTTCTGGGGGTGCTGGGGGCTACACAGGAAGCCAGTGGGGCCATGTCCCCACTTCTGGGACCTCTGGGCCTGGGGCCCCCCCCTGGAGTGGGGTGATGTGCGCCTGGCCACAAGCATGCGAGGGGGAGGTTCCTATGGGGGGGTTCCTGGGGGGTCGGGGCCTCAGTGAGGCCACAGCACCCTGGTGAGGAGAGGAAATGGCCGGCCCAGGCCCCGTCGTGATCCTCTGTCATTCGTGATCCAGGCAGCTCCCCAGCCCTGCCCAGGCATGAGCACTGCCTCATGGTCTGAGGGGGCACTGTGAAGGCCTTGGGTGTCCAGGAGCAGGGGTGGGTGAAAAGTCAGACCGGTCCGCTCTTGCTGACGGAGCTCACACCCTGTGAGCCGGGAATGCTGAGTGCCTGACCGCCCAGCCTGTGATGAGCTTGGTGCTGGCTTGCGTGTATGGGATGGGGGTGCACAGTGGTGTTCCCGGGAGTCTGTGAGCTGCGCTGGCGCGCCCGTGCCCACCTGCCAGGCTGCGCGCCCTCTGCTGGCCGCCATCAGGACTGCAGACACCGCCGGCTCCCCGGAAGTCCCCCCTGCCAGTCCTACATCCAGGCTGAGTGGGGGCCTCGGGGTGGTGGGTCTGAGGGCCTCTCTGCTCTCCCAGGCCCTGTGGGGAGAGAGTCATGTTGGGAGTATGGGTGGGAGTAGGGGGCAGCCTGGCACCGTCTCCCAGGCTGCTGCCCGGGACAGCCAGTTGATGGATGGGCTGTGCCATCCCAGCCCTGGGAGGCTGAGGTGGACAGATCACCTGAGGTCAGGAGTTTGAGACCAGCCTGACCAATATGATGAAAACACTGTGAGGGGCATGCTGGGGAGGGTGCTCTGCTAGCTGTGTGGGGGGGCAGGAGGGCCTGGGTCACTCAGGACTGCCTCCGGTGACCCTGAAGTGCCCACGTGATGCTTGGTATTAGGTTGGGGTCCCCAAAACCAGAGGCGGGGACAGGCATTTGGGTGCGCTCGGGTGTATTGGGGAAGCAGACGTCCCTACTAGAAATGCAAAAATTAGCCGGGTGTGGTGGCATGTGCCTGTGGTCCCAGCTACTCGGGAGGCTGAGGCAGGCGAATCACTAGAACCAGGGCAACAGAATGAGACTCCATCTCAAAAAACAAAGGTAGCCTTGAAGGGGTGCGTCCTGAGTCCAAGTCTGGCCCAGGGATCCAGGGAGGTGGCGGAGAGGTGGGACCCTCTTCTCCAGCAGCCTCCAGCCTGGGCCTTTGCCTTCAGCAGATGTCACCACTTCCTCTGGCCACTGTGCCCGTGCTGGCCTCCCACAGAGCACCTCCTGCTCACCCCCTGCGTCTGGAGGCTGAGCCTGGAGCCAGGGCAAGTGGTTCCTCTTTTACCAGAGCAGCAGGCAGCGGCTGGTAGAGGCAGGCTCATCTCCCTCAGGCCTCAGGCAAACCAGGGTCGGGAGGCCTAGAGAGGGCTGGCCCTCCCTTGCAGTCCTGAGTGCAGACGAGGCAGGGGCTTGGGGACTGGGCCCCTGTGGGTCAGGTGATTCCCTGGTGGGGATACTTGGGTCACACACTGTGAGGGGCATGCTGGGGGGGGCTCTGTTAGCTGTGTGGGGGGGCAGGAGGGCCTGGGTCACTCAGGACTGCCTCCAGTGACCCTGAAGTGCCCATGTGATGCTTGGTATTAGGTTGGGGTCCCTAAAACCAGAGGTAGGGACAGGCATTTGGGTGCGCTTGGGTGTATCGGGGAAGCAGACGCCTCGACCAGATCCACCTTGAGCTGCGGACTGTGGGTTTCTCTGGAGGCTGTCCGTCGAGGCCAGGCTGTCCACCCTGCATCCCCCAGTCATTGGCCAGGGGCCACCGGGGTCTGTCTTTAACCTCCCAGCAGTACTGGGGCAGGGACAGCCGTGAGCAGCTGGCAGTCATGCCCCAGCCCCAGGGGATGGGAGCTGAGCTCAGAGAAGGGGACTTGGGGGCCCAGCAGCAGCTGCTCCAGTGACGTTAACACCCCTGGAGAGTGCCCAGCAGAGCACGGGCTGCCCACTGGCTCCAGGGCTGCAGTGCTGGGGAGGGAGGGCTGCGGGCTGGAGAGGTGGGCCCTTTACAGCCGACTGCCTGGGTGGGGCCTGTGTGGGCGGGGCTTGCTGCGGTGCTGGGCTGGCCAGAGTTGGAGTCGTGGCAGGGGTGGGGCAGGGGCAAGCCGTGGGCAGGTGCTGGGCAGGTCGGGTCAGGTCAGGGTCCTGTTTTCCAGGCCTGGGCACCTGCTGAAGCCCTAGTTACCCGGACCAGTCTGCAGAGTGTTCGGTGGTGGGAGCCTTCAGGGTGCTCTGGGAGGGCTTCACTGAGGGCAGGGCTTGCCTGGCCTGCACAGAGGGGAGGCTGGTAGGGAAGCAGACTGCAGCGACGTCCTGGGTGGAGGTGGGGATGGGGACCCCATGG